AGGAAATAACTAATCTTTGGCGACTATTTTCTCAATAATTTTACCTCTGAAAACAGATGACCCCCACCTCCTTCATTTGCAAATATCTCGACTTGTATTCAAGATAAATGGATATTTTTTTCATCCAAATAAAGACAAGTAAACAAGCTTTAAGATGATACCAATAACTCTACATGCCCAAAAATTGAGGAGTGCCTGATTTCACCACGCTGCCTCACATTTGTTAATGTTTTGTACCCCCAACAACACATTTTATAGAATTCAGGAGGCGGGCTGAGGGGAACAGAGCATGCCAACAGGGGGACGCAGACACTCTACTGAAACATGCTGTACGGTGGGCGGACTGGGAACATCACCACGGCAGGGCAGCCGTCCTTACCGGAGTCGTTGGTGTGGCGGTTAAGCGCTTCGCCGTCGCAAGCAGATGACGATTCTCTTGTGGAAAATTTTTTATCGAGTATTTCCTTAGTTTAGTTTTGTTTTAGTAAGGTTTTACTGCGCTCACAATTACATAAGGTCAAATGAGCGCCAAGAAGTGGATGTCAACAGAAAAGCCCAAACGGGGTATAAGGCTTACTCTGCTCACCTTTCTGGCCTCAGTAGCACAGAGTCTGCTTCGATTAACAAGGCATCCCGGAAATAGCATTTTTCAAGAGAGTGTCAAACATGCTAAAGAAGTAGAGGGAAAAAGGACGGTAGTACGGATGAGGAAAGAGAAGGCAGCAGTTCCCCCAAAGTTGTTCCGGCATAGTACTTCCGTCTTTCTGCTGGGATGTTGTATTCCTCTCAGCCCAGGTTTGCCCTGACAGGCAAAATGGAAGCAGCCCGCCTCCTATATTATCTTGGTACTGTTGATGGTGGCGTAAAACGTTACCAGTTACAACCGCCTTTTGAAGTGTATGGTTTCGCAACGTGGATGGCAAGATCTTAAATTCAAACTCCAAAAGAAACACAATTTTTGTTTTCATCTTGCTGTAACCGCGGACAAAGGAAAATGGACAGGCTATAATAATTTGTCTGTTTTCGACATGGAAATTAAACATGGATCTACTACCTTTAAAAAAGTGCTAGTTTGTAAACCCCAAAATGATATCGTTTGAAGAGGATTTGGTTCGAACACAATAATTATTTCGTTATTTCACAGGAAGTATTCGACTACGCCTTCAGCCAGCGGGATCAGGATATAGAGGTGGCAGCGAAGAAGGTATCGAAAATCACGATCCTCCTCACCAAAATGGAGTCGGTTCTGGGCAACAGAGAGTCGGAGAGTGGCGCCTTCAGTTTCTCTGGGCACTGGGAGAAGAAGATCTTCCACGCTCTTACACAGGTATATATATTTTTTTTGGTAAGTGTTTTACGGCGCTCGCAACTGCAAAAGGTCATATGAGCGCGCGGGACACATTAATCTTTTTCAGTTGGCAGGACATTTTGAATTTTGCCGGGTGGTGGCCTTATCGTTTTTAGACCACCAAGGGATCTTTAACGTGCGCAACTTGCACACGAGCCCTCAGAGATTTTTCACCCTTGTCCGAGAAGGCTGGGTGTAGATCTTTCGTATCAGAAGATCAGGGGTGTGGCTGAAAGACAGCATAGCAGTAAGGAGCCAAGCACGTTGAAGTCTTCCACCAGAATGAGTTTATGTGTAGATGTGCTGAGTGTACTCTGTAGCTCTTCGTAAAAACTTGTCCGGGTGTTTGGGAGAGCTGGTGCGTAGATCGAAATGTTGACTAATGTGTAGTTGTCTGTCTTGTCGGTGATTGTTGCGGTGGTTATTCTACCCGTCTCGTTGTTGGTTGTGTGATGTGTGATGTGCCGTCTGTTGGATGTTTGTAGTATTATGGCTGTTCCTCTGCAATATTTACCGAGACTGAAAATGCCTTGACTGAGTCCTAGTCCTAGTGAGTGTGTGTATGCTTGTACTTTGTATTCGGTGTCTACGTTAATTTCTTGTAGTAATACAAAAATCTGACCCCCCCCCCGGGGGCAGTGCCACTGACTGTAATGTCTTTAGGCTATTCCCAAAGGGGGGACATTTCTCGTTCTAATGCACAGTAGTAGAATTGTAAATGGGCTGACTCATGGCACGCTCATAATTGTGCCTGATCTACAACAGGGAACTGCTGCTTTTTCTTTCCTGATCCTTACTATTGTCATTTCCTCTACTTCTTTTGTATGTTTGTCACTCTCTTGTGACCTGCTATTTCCGGGGTGCCTTGATAGTCGAAGCAGACCTTGTGCTTTTGAAGCTAGAGAGGTGAGCAGTCTAAGTCTGATTCCCTGAAAAGACTTCTCTGTTGACACCAACCCCTTGGCGCTCATATTATGTCCTTATGCAGTTGCAAGCGCCGTAAAACCCTCTACTCTAAAAAAAACCCAACAAAAAGTCTGGTTTGTGTGTGGTAATGAGGTGTGTTGGTAACGTAGTTGAGGCAGCTTACCCTTCATTCCTCTTGCCTTCAGTGTCCGTACTTTCAGTTCATTCATCCTGTGGTGCTCAAGGAATATAAAATTAAAAAATGGAAACATATTAATTTTTAGGACTTTAAATTTAAAAGAAATCAGCTGAGTCACTGTCAGTCGTCATGTTGGTTACTTCGTCTTCTGTCCTTGCTAATTTCTTTTGTCTGCTCTTGTCGCTGGCGCTCTCGTTCTCGTCGTCACTCTCGTTCTCGTCGTCACTTTCGTTCTCGTCGTCACTCTCGTTCTCGTCGTCACTCTCGTTCTCGTCGTCACTCTCGTTCTCGTCGTCACTCTCGTTCTCGTCGTCACTTTCGTTCTCGTCGTCACTTTCGTTCTCGTCGTCACTCTCGTTCTCGTCGTCACTTTCGTTCTCGTCGTCACTTTCGTTCTCGTCGTCACTCTCGTTCTCGTCGTCACTTTCGTTCTCGTCGTCACTTTCGCTGAGTAGCTGAAATCTGTTCGGTTGTACTATGTCGTTTGATGCCCTCTTCCTATCCGTCACTGTGGTTGTGTTGTTGCTGTTGTTGTTGTTGTTGTTGTGGTTGTGTTGTTGTTGTTGTTGTTGTTGTGGTTGTGTTGTTGTTGTTGTTGTTGTGGTTGTGTTGTTGTTGTTGTTGTTGTTGTTGTGTGTGTGTGTGGTAGCCTATCCGTTCGAAATGTTCCGAGCCCCGAAGAGTGTGCTCTTCGCCAGGGCCACCGCCTCCCTTGGGTAGCGGGTGAGGCAGTCCAACCTCCCTGAATCCCCCCCGAAGAGATGCCACTGCCGGGCCTCCGTGGCGGGTCATCTCTTCAGCCAGTGCTCCAAATCTTGGGGCTCCTCGCTGCACAATGGACAGATTGGGTCCGATGTTTTGTCTATTCTATTTTTGTAGGCACACAGCCCAGAGAAATGACCGGTCCTGATTTTTTCCAGTAATGACTGGTCACTGAGGGACCTACCTCTCGTTTTAAGGAAAATGCCCTGTATACTGTCATTGCTGTTGTCCTTCGTCTCTTCTGTTTGGAATTTTTCTGTGCCTTTTTAAAATCAATTTTTTTTGTAGTTCGTCGTCGGTCAAGTTGTTTAAATGGCCACCCCTTCCTCTTTCTTTGGCCCAGTCTAGATCTTCACGACCTAGGTTTGGGAGGTCCAAAAAGTCTATTGTTCGGTAGCTGGTGTTGTTTATGGAGTTGAGGTGGTTGGCGGTGAGTCTGTCAGGGGTGCGGTGGTGGGTGCTGAAGTGATGGCGGGTGTTGAGGTCAGGGGTGGGGCGGTTGGTGTCGGGGCTGATACTTGCTGGGCTTGCGGTAGTGGTGGAAATGGCAGTGGTGAGCTTGGTTTTGAGTATGTAGGTCTATCTCTCTCCCTTTATCTCTCTCCCTTTATCTCTTTCCCTTTATCTCTCTCTCTCTATCTCTCTCTCTCTCTCCTTTCTCTCTCTTTCTCTCTCTTTTCTCTTTCCCTGTCTCGCTCTCTCTTTTCTCTTTCCATGTCTCGCTCTCCTTCTCTCCCCACCCCCTCTCCCTCATCTCTCTTTCTTACTCCCCCACCCACCCCCACCCCCTTCTATCCCTGACCATATTCTGACCCTGTTTCCGTTCCCCCCCCTCCTTTGACTGTTCCCACAGATGGTGATAGGCAACCTAAAGTGGTTCAACTTCCAGCTCCGATCAGACAAGCCTCTGTTCTCCATCGAGAGTCTGCTGGCTTCCCCTGACGTGGTGCTCAATCCACAGACCAACGACATCTACAAGACAGTGGTGTCTGCAGCCAGGGACGTGGTCGCCAGGTGTGTGTGTGTGTGTGTGTGTGTGTGTGTGTGTGTGTGTGTGTGTGTGTGTATGTGTGTGTGTGTGTGTGTATGTGTGTGTGTGTGTGTGTGTGTGTATGTGTGTGTGTGTGAGTGTGTATGTGTATGTTCTCAACCCACAGACCAACGACATCTACAAGACTGTGGTGTCTGCTGCCAGGGACGTGGTGGCCAGGTGTGTGTGCATATGTGTATGTGTGTGTGTGTATGTGTATGTGTGTTTATGTGTGTGTATATGTGTGTATGTGTGTATGTGTGTGTATTTGTGTGTATGTGTGTGAGTGAGTGTGTTTGTGTATGTGTGTGAGCGTGTTTATGTGTATGCGCTGTGTGAGTGCATGTGTATGTGTGTGCGCGTGCACGGGTGTGTATGAGCGTGTGCGCGTGTGCGTGTGTTCCATCTGATCTCATAAGTTCTTCTCTACTTTCCCAGGACCAAAAAGTTCGTGCGCTGGCTCAACGGTACGTACACCGAGGCACCGCCCCAGAAAGTCAAATTCCTCGACCAACCTTTCGTGTACTCCTTCTTCACTGACATCGCACCCAACCCAGAGGTCATAGAGCTCATACAGGTACATATACAGTTCAAACTGTCTAAGACGGCCACAAATTGTCCAGGAGAAAAGTGGCCGTCTTAAACAGGTGGTTGACTTACACAATGTAATTTAAGGATGCGGGAAATGGGGATAGAGAGGGGAGAAGGAAGAAAGGAACGATTATCTGTCAAGGAAAGACGTCGCCATAATCAGA